ACTCGATGACAGCGGGACTAGCCGGATCCAACTAGCCCTCAATGACGCGCCATTGGCGACCCCTGGTCAGCCCGGTCAGGCCGGACAAAGCGTCTCGGGCCAATTGGATGGCGTGAGCGACAGCGACCAAGCCGGTGTTGGAGGCGATGCTGCGTTGCCCCCTGCAGCCTTTGTTCAACCTCGGCGGGGGTCAGTCCAACCATCAATCTCGTCATTGGGCACTCAGGATGCGGTTGCTGATCCTCCCTTCGCCCTGGCGCTTAACGGTGAGTGCCTCGCTCGCCCGGGAAGTGAATCGGCTGAACTTACGGCTGTCGCCCTCGCAGCGCCTCTTGCCTCGTCCAGTCTCTCTCTGCCCTCCATCGTCGGCCACCACCCCGACACGGAGATGGGTGCGACCGGCAATGATCGGTCTTTGCTGCGTCCGCTCAACGGTCGTCATCCACCTTCGGGTCACTTGCGAGTAAGCAGCATGTCGTCGCTGAGACCGAGCCGACCGTCGAGTCGGAATGCGACCTCAGAAGCGAATTCCCGATCGCAGGATTCCACCCCGCACGCGCGCCTGGCCGCACTGAAGATGAAGTACGGCGACAAAATCCGGGACATTCGTCGCATCTCCCTGGGTCCCAGCAGCCCATCGTCGGACCAGAAGCCGCCGCTTCTGGATCGATTGACAGTATGTCTCTGTCTCTATAGAGTGGATGAAAGTTTTGAAGGTTAACTGATCATGATCCAGGGCCTCTTCCGTACCAACCTTCGTCCCCACCGACCCAAATCAAGGCAATCCAACCAAGCCTCCAGACCTGAAACCCCTATCCAGCGCTCCACGACGGCCTCTCCATCGCGTCCAATAAATCACACATCCAGCCATACCCGCTTCTATTCCCTCGACCACGCCCTTCCCAATGCCAGCGACAGTCTTTCCCACCTGCCGCCGAGTCTTCCCCGCATCCCCACCCCAGATTCCTTCCGCCAGGCCCAGAACCAAGCCATTTTCGTCCCGCATGCTTCCACCCCTACTCTTCATAATACTTCATCCATTTCAGACGACTATCTCTATAGCAGCAAAACTGTATATGAACCAAGTCACACTCCCACTAATGGTTCTCCAGAGCGCGGTCGAACCACCTCCCGCACGTACGTGCAGGAACTGCACCTCCGATCCCGCAGTCCCAAGGAAAGCGCGCCCCGACCGGAGGAGACAACTCTACCAAATACCGATGCGACTGACCCGGCGATTGAGCTGGGGCGGTTCGCACGCAAACCGCGGACTAGTCGAGTGGGCGATCAAGAATTGCCGTGGAAGTTGAGTCTGTCCGGACTGGGTGGTGATCCTGACGAGCATGTTGAGAACGAGGTAACGGTCGAAGAGAGAGACAGAGCACGGAGGGAGGCCAGCAATATACTCGAATCTGCCATCGCTGCCACTACCATCGATCAATCTCACATGCGGAACCCAGAGCCGACACGAGAGACCTCATTTGGAGTTTCACCCTCTCCCCTATCCACAATTCCAGAATCAGTCGCATCTCCTTCAATCGTGTCCCCATCCGAGCTTCCACCTCGCGACAACTCGTCTACGACAGCGCAAGTCTCATTCTCTGACGCTCAATCACGCGTCTCTCCGTCACCGTCCCCTACACCAAACCCGGATACAGAGGTCAAGACCGCAAGCTTATGCCGAGAACCCCAATGCATCAATACTCCTCCAACAGCAGACTCCAATCCCTCCCTCACCACAATAGAAACAGAATCCGGAGCCCGCACAGTATCCAACGGCCCCACTCCCAGTACACAGACAAACTCAAATCTAAGCAGCCATCCCCACCGCCCCGCCCCACCCCGAGCCCTTGTCTCCACTCCCGTTGAACTCCCTGTCCCCTCAGCAGACGGGGGAGAAGATCACGATAATGCCAGTGATGCTTCCAGCGAACCCGAGATTGTCATGTCAAGTACGGCATATCCGGGACAGGAGTGGAGGCCGGTCGGATACATGGGATATGAATCGGGGATATAGTCTGAATTAATCGATTGATCTTATGGTTTTTTTGCTGCTGTGTCTAATATTAACCTTTTTGATTTGACCTGTACAGTGCAAGTGTTGCCGGGGGAACGCGAATAAGCTAATAGTGGTAATTGTGAAATTGATCGTGATGGTGATTGCGGATGGAGATACCCACGTTATGTCATACTTGCCTTTTGTTAGATAGTTAGTACTGCTAGTAACCTATAGTATATCATCCCGTACTTGATCTAAGGAGTTGCTTGACCCATGCGGGCTTCTCTTATCTACTGCTGCTGCTTATGATAGTGGTATTGGTTGCACGAAGCTGTTATGTATGCGTGCCCAATCAATCCTTTCGACGGATAGTTGAATTTAGATGAAGCTGCAGCCATAAGGCTTAGTCGTACACTATGGACAATATTCACCAGCCCTGCTAAAATACCCTGCAGCAGAACATGTACCGATGCTTTATACCAAAGTAAACTCCTCTTCCACTAGATGTCCCTCATTCATCATCTGGATTGCCTCTCCGTCCATAATGCCATGCACGTAACTCTCACCAATTAAGATATAGTGAGACCCTTGCTTGCGGAGAATAACAGGCACAGAACAACCGAACAGAACACAAACGAGATCTCCTTCCTGTGTCTTCGGCGGCACCAGGCCTATGTAACCCTTTGAGGAGATCATCAGCCGACGGTATGAGGTTGCGCGCTCAATAGCGGAATTGAGCATTGACACACCAAGGCAGTATTCCTCTAAGAACTCTTTGCCAAGGACATAGCAAGTATCATCCTCTTCAATGGCTTCATCACTTGGTGCAGTTTGACTCTTAAGGAATTCATCCATATACAGGGGGCTAGGATTATCATCATTCCTGTAGCCAATGGCGTATGTATCCGCGATCAATGTTCGGATGTATGCATGGGCCAGCGAGCCCCCACCGACATAGTCACGGCCAGTTTTTGACCCCCTTACCTGTTTCATCAACTTGATCGACATTGAAACAAAGCTTTTTTGATATTGAATTTCATTCGACAACGGTTCCCCCCTTTCCATAAGAGTTCCAAACTTGTGAAGAGCATATACCCAGCTTGAGAGTTCCGGGATATGAGATGGGGCCTCAAAATACGATGTTAAGAGGGCCACCCACGGATCGGGTCTCCATGCTCCGTGTTTATCAGGCTCATATGTTACTGCCAGACAATCAATGGTATCAACATAAATGCCTACAGCTTTTAGAGCCGGCACGTCGAGAAGCAATCTATATTCAGGAGACCTTGACCGAGATGCGTCATAGTCGGATGGGTGGGTATCCCAATCTTTTTTGACAAAGAATAGCTCTCCACCTGCGAACAAGCTAACCAAGGGGCTCGCAATGTTGGAGCTTTCACTCGAGTAAACCTCCCAGTCAGGTACCCAAGATGGCCACCTAGGCTTCTCGCTTCCTTGGCTCATGCATATTATATCCATACCCCAATCCCTGATAGAATGCACGACAAGCCCAAGGCACACATCCAGTAGTGTGTTATTCACCGAATAGTCAGGATGTATAGCATTTCCTGGCCCACCACGTGCCAAATCGAGCAGGCTGAATATTTTGTCCCTTGGATCTGTTGACCGCTGCTGTCTATTCCAAGCAACGAGTTGCGTAATGGTTATTATATGGCCTTCCTTGGTCGCTTCTCTCATTGTTTGGATCTTAGCCACTTCTTCAAGCCCTATTGTGGATATTCGGCCAGGAAAATAGGAAGTATACGTGCCAATGAACATAATATTGGCAAGCCACCACAGGGGCAACCATGTAACTTCATAATTTCCGCATTTCACTAGTAATTCTGCAGATACCACGGCCTCTTGAAGCACCCATGCTCTGGTCCACCAGGGTCGCCTCAATATGCCCGTGACCAGTAATTCCAAGCTCTGACGTTGATCTTCGGTGTTTGTCAATTCTCGCATGAGCATCAAACTCTCTTCAGTAGATTCTACGTCACTGTGACTTTGATCGTAAACCCGTTGAGCGAGACCAAATAATGACTCGGCACGTTCATCCCCGTCACCAAGCCATATAATTGTCACATTACTTCCTTGGTAGATATCGCGCATAATGCTTACTTGCGAAGCACGCTCTTCCAGGTCCCGCTGGTTGATGCATATCGCGTCAATCCACATAGTCCGTGGAGTGTTCCGGCGTAGATGACGGAGGGCTGATTCGAGGTTTACCGTAGCTCTAAAGGCCTTTCTATTCACAAAAATATACTTCGTATTCGTGTGGTCTCCCCAGACATAGGAGAGCGTCTCATAGGGTTCCGAATCGGCTAGCGAAGTTTCTCGGAGGGTGCACTGGATGTCATCTGTCCATTTACCAGGTTCGATGGTAACGAGACGGATTTGTTTCAAAGTAGAGTCCAGCTTATGATACAATTCCTGGGCTTGTGACATAGTTGAGATCTAGTATCGACCAATATTGGCGTCAGTTATTGCGGGGAGGAAAACAAATGAGCTGAAGGGGAGACGCGGCACACTGCATCCATTGTGTTCTTAGGCACTAAATCAAGCCTGACGTGTCTGGACCCACCTTCCTGCAGCTCGGAGGCTACTATTATAGGCCAACTGGTTATACATGGAACACATTTCCCCTTGATTTATTTGTATATTGTCATATTCTCATTCATTTATTTTATCTGTTCCTAATATTTGCGTTGCTCGGTTTTCCATCATGTGTGTTGATCCTCTGGAATAACGAAATGTCACATACTAGGTGGTGCACTTTGTGATTACTGGATTAGCTACATCTCTTACAACCAGAGTGGAATCCTCTGTCATCCCCGACTTCTTTTAAAATGGTACTAGTTAGACAAGGCCAATTCACCTGACTCTCTACCAGAAAGCATAGCTTACCACGAGATATATATCACATACTCTACCACCTCGCCTTCACCCCCTACCTCACAGTCCCCTCCACATCCACAACACGAACATCGAAATCCCTCTGCAAAAAGATCCCATGACACCGACTCCTCCACGGCCTCTGTGGCCTCAAAGCCACCACATCCCACCTCCTCAACACCTCGACCACCACCTTACCCATCATCATCACTGCCAACCGAATCCCCAGACACCTCGTACTTCCCCAGTTAAACATAAGCTCATGAACCCGATCCATACGCTGTCTCTGTTCCGGCGTCGCTTCCAACCACCTCTCTGGACGAAACACATCCACATCTGGCCCAAATACCTCGTTTCGTAGCAAACCCGGGAGGTTGAGCCCTATGTTCGTACCTTCGGGGACGTATACTCCGTTTAGAGTATCGCCTCCGGGCGGGACTACACGTTCGCGTAGTGCCGTGATGGGCGGGAAGATGCGTAGGCCTTCGAGGATGCAGGCTTGGAGGTAGGGAAGGGACTTGGTTTCTCGTTCGGTTATTATGGGGGTTGTGGTGACTGCATTGCGGATTTCGTCTGTTAGACGTTTGTAGACGAGGGGGTTGGTGATGATGTGTAGGAGGAGGGCGCGGATGGAGGTTGCGGTTGTGTCGGAGCCGGCGAAGCTATTGGGGAATATTTGTTAGTTAATGCTTGGTAACTCATTTATTTAACCCAGGTTAAGGTTTTATGGGGAGGGGGTCATCTGGGGTTACACACAGGGCAATTGTAACTTCTGTGACTGCTAAAGATCCGTCGACGCCGTTGCGAAGCCATGAATCTAGCATCGTCTCGTTGTGCTTCGGAGGAATGCCCTGCACTATGCGGGCGTTGACAGTTTTCTCAGCGACCTATCGATACATGTCAGGGCGATGATCATTAACCCAGAACATCCACGAGCTGAAGTAGTATCTTACCCCCATAATTGCCCCGATACCATCCTGATCTTTAGATGAGGGTAACACCCAACGCACTATCGGTATGTGGGAGATCATCTTGATCCAACTGTTGACTTCGGTGAAGATGGCGAACTTCTCCACGATGGGTAAACGTGTTTCCAGGACATTCTGAAATCCATAACAGTCTTCATGATGGTCGATGAATCCCAAGGGGTGGCCGAGACATAAGTGGCACACCATGTCAAATAACAGCCATTGTATACTTCGCGCCATGTCGAATGCAACGTGGCGTTCTTGCGTTGTCACGGCGTGTTTGTGAATATAGTCCAGCCAGGTGAGGAGGTTCTGGTCGATGGCGTACTCCATCTGTGGAATGTCTTTGCCTTGGTACTTTGGGAGTCAGCTTTGGGGATACACATCTGAAAAGAATATTCATGAGCAGGAACAACTAACCCCAGGAGCCATCTTCGTTCTCAATGCATCATGCTTTTGCCGATGCCGCTCAGTAATGAGATTTGCATTATGGGGATCCAGTCGCAAGGCATCAAACCACGGCCCACGAGTGTACTTTGACTGCACTCCAAGTACCTTTCGAAAGATCAGAGGGTCATTTGTGATCAGGTGGTTTGGTCCTATGCGGACGAGGGGACCTGGAGCTCGAATGCTTAGTTTCCTTGTCGCCTTATTGTCTCGTAAACTTAGATCTGATTCAACATACCGTACTCCCGATTAACCTGAAGATATATATCCGCGCATCGCTCCGAGTAAAGCGCTCTGAAGAGCCATAGACGAGTGTATGGTGCCCACCAGGGCCCAGGTATCTTTCTAAGATGCAGTGTCGATCTTATGATCCAGGCAACGATAATAACAGTGGCCACAATCGGCATTAATGTCCATGTCAGGTCCCGTTGAACCAGGGCCTGAAATCCCTCTGCAAAGGCAGTCATATTGACTGCAGTATGAACGGGGGTCTTTCTCTCACTGTATGACCGAGAGTCGGTGCGGGGATAGTCGATACGTGTGGTGAAAGAGAAGAGTGAAAGTAAACGGCTCGTCAGCCCTTGTGTACTTAATGAACATGACTAGATTCATGTGGTTTGCAGGGTACAATCAGACATATCGGAGCCGCATCTGGCAACAGCCATCTCGCTCGTCTGACACTTCTCCCTTCTATGGCTACAAAAGCCGGAGGGATATCTACTAGTAAGGCTCACAGCAATCATAGTGACTCAACACCATCGCTTACGGCTACGCGGACATTAGGGCCTCTTCTCTTGTCATCCGTTTTGGGAGTAGGTTGTCGAGATGTTCTGTGCACTGCCGCAGCATTTCTGCAGGGAAGTCCGGTATTAGAAGTTCCGAAAGTTACTAGTTGATATTGAACTTGTAACGCAATTTAGGTTCGCCCAGCCGGATATTTAGACATAATTGTGGTCTTCTCCGAGCCACAGCCCCGTTCAGGGTCTAGTGGCCATAGCGTTAGCCGTGCCAGGTGCACGAGTCTTTTGAGATGTATCACTACCTTTATTTCAACCCCGCTCACTATACTTCGTGCTATCTCTCGTTGATCTAACTGAGAGCTGAAGAAGTTTACCTTCTGGCCGTCCAATGTCTAATGAATACAGTAGTATTAAATTGCTAATAAAATCCATCATATTACTCGCTCAACTTACCAATGGCAGCTCGCTTATTTGGCCCGCAGCTGCTACCACTCAACATACCATATAGTCTACACAAAAATGGCCTAATACTCCATACAGCAGACGATAGTAGTGCTCTGAGTGGCTACATTCACCATCTACGTGGCCATACACAAAGCCAAGACTCGTATTGACAGGCTGAGATTGCCGATCCCGCTGATCATTGTATGAAAAGAACCATTTAACTCCGTCCCTTCCCCCGCAATCTCTCCTTAGAATCTAAGGTTTACCAAATGCCAATGGACGGGGATTACCCCAAGTATCCGATGGCAGAAAACGCCAAGCACCAGCATGCTTCCGTGCGAACAGATAATGAACAAAGTGAGTGGAGAAGGGCGGCATAGCGGGCCACTGGTTTCCACCCTCGAAGGTTATGTCACGGAGGCCGAGAACCATGGGCGGGATGACATTCTATATGTGTTGTTTGCTATTGGTTAACAAAGTACTTCCTTGCCAGATAAAGTGGATGAAGTGACTCACCTTATCCTGTTTACCCGCCTCAGCCTCACACTCCTTATAAACCTTGAGCAAAGCAGGCCCGTCATACGGCTCCATGCTCATGAGGCTGGTGATTTCGTTGGCCAGGTGCTCGCGAAAACTAGGCGCCATCTGCTCGATGAGGCTGCGCACGGTCGAGGCCTTGTAGTCAGCAGGCTTGGTCTCCGTCCCGTAGGCGAGGAGCTGCTTCAAGATGGGTTGGAAGGTATGGTGCTCGTTAACATTTCCCTCGAGGAAATTGGGCTTCTTCATCACTCCTTCAAATTGAGGAAACATCTGCTCTTCTTCCAGAGTGTGGTGATGGGATACCCATCCGGCCCAGCTGCGGAGGAAGACTAGGTAATCGGCGATGTCTTGCGACTCGGTTATTTGCTCGGCTTGCAGATAAAGGGAGTTTAAACCTCGGAGCATGGCGTTGTGGGCGAATGCCATCTCGTTGGCGATGTGGAGAGCTTCATGTTTGGACTGATATTGTTAACTTTGATTTTGTGGTTTCACCTTCTTGTTCACTCCCAGATGGCACCAGAATAGAAGGGTAGAATCGGACATGACCGAGGTCCTACTCACAATGTCCTGTGTTTTGGATGGTGTTTCGATCAACGGCCAAGGACCATCTGCCCACGGACGGGAAGTAGTGCCAGTAGCCATAGTTCAGCGATATGCTAGTGAGTGACAGCCGTTGACATGAAAGCCGTTAAATATCGCGAGAGGATGAGAGGTTCGAAGAAAGAGAGAGATTTGGGGGTGAGAGTCTAGAGGTGGCTAGCTAGCTGATCCTTATGCATCTAGTTTAGTGTCTGAGTAATAGGACGACTTCTGTTGCTCTGACCTGCTCCGGCCTCAAACGGCGCCTCGCTAAGATCAAGCTAGCGTCGCATGTAAGATTATAGTGTGACACCTCACAAAGAACATTCTTGAACTAACATAGACTAAATGGCCCGTTCGAGTGATCTCCAGAGACAATCAGCCTAGCACTTGTGTTGGATTCAAAAATTGAGCTACGTGTCCTACTACGAGTACTTATGTCTATTTGGAAGATCCCCGATACTAACCCTGGCAAATACCCCTTAAAGGCCCTTTGGCATGCCACGCAGCTGTCAAACTATACACCTAAGATATGCGTCCAAATAAGTTAATATGTAGGCTTTATCCCACCAGACGGAACGCACCCTTAACCAACCTTCCCACAACCCTAACCACACCTCCTTCCACCCCTACAACTGGTCTCAAGCAATGGAGACGCACCGACCCCCTCCACGAAAACACTCCATCTCCTTCTGGCTCGTCTTCCTATCGCTCCGCCTCCTCTCCTTTGTGTCCGCATTAGATGGCGCAATCATCAGCACCGCCCTCCCCAAAGTAACCGCCTCTCTCGGCGGCGAAACCGACTATATCTGGATAGCCAACAGCTTCACCATCGCCCAAACAATCGTACAACCCTTTCTCGCCCAACTCTGCGACATCTACGGCCGACGCAACCCCATCCTAATCTCAGTGGCCCTATTCCTCCTGGGCAGCGGCCTAGCGGGCGGCGCCTCCACAGTGGGCCAGTTGATCGGCGGTCGCACGGTCCAAGGGCTCGGCTCAGGCGGCATCTACATCCTCGTGGACCTAATTGTATGCGATCTGGTCCCCCAGCGCGAACGCGGCCAATACCTAGGCATCGTGCTCTCCCTCGCAGCCGTCGGCGCCGTCCTAGGCCCCGTTCTCGGCGGCGCCCTCGCCCAAGCCAACTGGCGCTGGGTCTTCTACCTCAACCTGCCCCTCGCCGGGCCCGTACTTCTGTTCATGCTGTTCTTCCTGCGCCTCGACGCCCCTCAATCCTCTTCCTCCAATACATCCCCCTCCATCCACCGCATCGACTGGCCCGGCAACATCCTCTTCGCCGGGTCCATCCTCTCCCAACTCCTCGCCCTCGTCGGCGGCGGCACCCTCCACCCCTGGACCTCCCCCTCGACCCTTGTCCCCCTAATCATCGGCATCATTGGCTGGATGCTCTTCCACATCTACGAAGCCCTCCCACCAAAATACTGTCCCCATCCCTGCATACCTCCCCACCTCTTCTCCACCCGCAACAGCCTCCTCGGCTTCATCCTCGCCTTCGACGCCGCCCTCCTCATGCAATGGACCCTCTACTTCCTCCCTATCTACTTCCAGGGCGTGCAGCGCAAGTCCCCACTAACATCAGGAATTGACCTCCTCCCCTACAGCGCCTTTCTGATCCCCTTCGCCATGGTCGCCGGCGCAATCATGTCCCGCACGGGACTGTGCCGCCCACTACACTTCACAGGCTTCGCAGCCCTCTCTCTCGCCCTGGGCCTCTTTACCCTACTCTCAGCTAACTCCCCCCGCGCCGCATGGGTCTGTGTCCAGCTCCCCGCCGCACTAGGCCAGGGCTTCCTAGCTACTACTATCCTCCCTGCTATTCAGTCGTCCCTGGGTCCTGCCGATACGGCGAGTTCTACGGGCGTGTATGCGTTCCTGCGGTCGTTAGCATTTGTGTGGGGATCTACGGCTCCGGGGATTGTGTTTAATGCGAGGGTGGATGTGTACGCGGGGAGAGTTATTGATGATGAGACGCTGAGGGAGAGGTTGCTGGATGGGAGGGCGTATGGTGCGGCAGCGGAGTTTGCTGGGGATTGGGGAGCGGGGATGGATACGGTGCAGAGAGAGCAGGTGAGGGAGGTGTATCGGTTGGCGTTGAGGACAGTGTGGCTTGTGGGGTTGGCGTTTGCGTTGGTGGGCGTTGTGGTTGGGCTGGGGATGAGGAGGGTGGTGCTACGGGGGGAGTTGGAGGAGAATGGGTATGGCTTAAGGGAGAAGGGGGATGTCCAGAGGGAAGAGAGGGCTGTGGATGATGGTGTGGGTGAGGAGGAGGGTGAGGCAAAGAGGGAGGGGGGGGAAACTGAAAGTAGGGCTTGAGGTTAAGGTTTAGTGCTTATGTTTCTGCAGATGCATGGTTCGGAAAATTTGTTGATTAGGGTGCGCGAGGATGTAGTGTGGTAATGTTTCGTGTGTAGGTGTGAAGGTGTAGAATGTAATAGATACTTACTAGTGGGTAATGACAGAATGATAAAAACAGGGCCCAAGGCAGAATTCTTCAAGTGCAGGTCTATAAGCGAGGCTCTCTAAAGTGGTCTGCATATGACAAAAATTTCCGAGATGGCGGCTAAGATTTGCGCTATAAATTGTACAACTGGCATGGTTGCAAATACTAAACTGGTGTGAATTACCGTAATATATTCATGGTATTAGGTTCAGTTATTTATGAATAAAACAAGCAGCACGAGCGCCTATAGATGTTCAGAATTTTGTAATCGGGGGCTGAAGACTGCATACACGAGCGAGTATCCACTCAATTCCCCTCGTTCTGATGTAATCGACCCATCTCGTACCCATCTGATTGAGCCGCATTCGTCGGCAGATCTGATGAGCTATGTAGATTATGATATGGGCCTCGCTGGTCTGATGACCCCTGGCTGAGTTGGGGCTTAGGGGTCGCCGACGATGAGGATGTAAACGACTTTCCACCGTTACTGCTACTCTTACTAGCATTCTGTGAAAAGCCGAGCAACCCAACTATGGACCCCGTAAGCGAGGAGAAGAATAATCGTGGTTGTCGCCTTGGCGTGCTGCCCATGCCTCTGGAATTGGAGCCGTGCGGATGGTTTCGATGTATTAGCCGCCACACGGCTGGCGAGCAACTGCAAATGATAGCGATATTAAGCTCCAAGATTCTGCCAAGAGGCGAAAGGCTGTCAGTACAATGGGTCTGATTCTCCTATTACCTGCCGTCTCTACAGCGCCAAGACTCGTCCTTCGGGGCGGAGGACTTACGAGGTAACATCGTATGCGCCTTCGTTCCAGTCAGTATCGCTCCCAACGTGCAGCTGGACTCGGTAGTACATGCTAATGCAGCTGGCTAGTAGAGCTCTGAATGGCGTGTGCATTGTTAGTGAGAGACGATCCTCGTATATGTGGGCTGTCGGGATCTGCACATGATAGGCCAAATGTCCATATTCAGGGTCCCGGTGGGGCGGGTTGACACATACATACAACCAACACCGAATACCAAGGCAATATTCAGCCTTTTCTGCCGCGATAACTTCAGTTTCCAGATAATAGGCTGCGGCAGGATCAGTGCATAGGCATCTAGGAGAATGTTCCCTGCTCCCTGCACAATTGCGTCTGGCAACGCCATTGAACAGCGGTGGAAGGTGTCCATATCAAGGTATGAGTGGCCCGCGCGCGGGGCACAGACAACTGCCGTCAGAATGAAGGTATGGATATATAGCAAGAAAGCCGCGATCAAACCAGCCCAACATGCCTTGGAGAAATTGCGGTGAAGTGGGGCATCGAACAGACGGCGGTAGAGCACGAATACTGGCGCCCGCGAAAAGAAAAAGGCAAGCGGGTTGAAAAGATTTTGCGCCAAGCGCAGTCGCCAGTATTTCTGGTCGCTATACAGCCACGATAAAGGCACGTCCCACATGTGCCGAGCTGCATAGCTCACTGGGGGCACGAGGCCTTTTAGCACTGGCTATATTCATGGGAAGCGAATGCTTACAGTGGATCAGAAAACCCATATAGGCGAAAGTGCAGATCTGTCCCGAATTAAGTGTCAGCTATTATAGCCGCGGAGAAATGTGAAGATGCGGAGGTCGCCGCTCGAGCCATCGTACCACGGCAAGTATGCATAGGACTAGAGACGATCTGAGTCAGATTGACAGGCAAGAGGAGGCGGTACATGGAATTCTCCATGGCTGAGAGTGCTTACCATCGTCTGCGGCAACCTTCTGTAGGCTCCGAGCAACAGAATACAGGCGAAGGGAGACAGCAATGGTTGTCATGATGTAGAAGAGTGCGGCAAATCCAATAATCGTAGATTGTAATGACGGAGGATTGCCATATAGGTTGGGAGTCACCCCGGCGGGAGGGGTCCCCGCAGGAACCTGAGCCATGTCTATGGTTGCAGACGCGGCTGCCATGGTGAAGAAACTTGACTATAACTGAAAGGATTGCAATGCTTCCAGGGAGAAAGTCTCAAGGCGCAGCTATATACCGCAGAAGGACGAAAAGTATCGTGCATCATGCCGCAAGGCAGATATTGGTCAAATCGATTGGTCCTAGATGTTGGAAGCGAGGTGCGAAGGATGTTGGCCGGAGGGCCAGACAGAAATCGGTCCGGAACGTTATCTTATTTTGGAAATCTTCAGCCTTTGAAGGGGCCATCTTGGTCAGCTTCATGATGATTCAAACTCTAGATAAGTGGAGTGGGCGTGGCGCAGGGTCAATGCAGAGGTTCCTGTTGAGGCAGCCACTGCCGGTACTGTTTAGGTACTGACGATTTGTATCGACGGTAGGATTGCAAATTACCACATTTCTTGTCATCTATGCAGACTAATACGGACAGAAACTCCAAGCGAAATGTCTAGTGCTTATCGCAGTATCTTCTGCCTCCTCATTCGGCATACTGATGTTTGCACTGGAAATTGAGACCATTGACCATATCAGAACGCGGGCATGGAGCCACGCTTTCTCCTCCACTTCATGTTAATGGCTTGATTTATTCATTCCTTCCACTTCAGTATCCTCCACTGACGAGCCTACATTGCTGTATCCTTCAATATGGAGTGGCAACTGTCACACCACAAAATCTCTCTTGGAGATGCAGAAAGCCCCCTAGCATTCACAGCCGTATCTATAGCCATTTTATGGTCACTCTGGTATCTTTGGCGCTTCTACATCGTTCCCGCCCTCTACCTTAATGAACCACGCATACTACCATACTGGATCCCCTTTATAGGTGCGTCTCTTTCACCCCTTCCACATCCATGATCTTTCAATTAACGCACCATCAAACAGGCCATACTGTATCCTTCGTACGATGCGCAGAACATGTATATCGGAGAGCGAAGTAAGCCACCCTTACCCCCTCTTCCACGACCCCGGAAACTAAAACACAGCGTATCCACATATAGTGCCTACTTCCCCGACACCGAGCCCTACAGCGTCATCCTCATGGGAGGCACAACAGTCATCATCCGGGACATCAAACACCTATCCAGTGTATGGAGAAATACCAGCGCCCTAAGCTATGACCCCTTCACCTCTCGCATGCTCATGGCCTTTGGCATAACACCGCATCATGTGCGAAACCTGTATAAACCAGAGCCAGCGCGTCTGCTTCCTGACGAACAGACACGCGAGCGATCCTTGCTATCGTGTGCCAATCCGAAGAAACTCTCTTATATGCATTTGCAGAGCCAGTGGTTCAAGACGCAGCTACTGCCGGGTGAGCACCTTAATGGATTATTAAATGCTTATCCAGTGTTTTTGTCTCGATTTCTTGATATCTCACTCCTACGTAAGGGTTTGGCTAGGGAGGTAACATCTTTCAAATGTGATGGAGCCAATACTTCGGTGACACTCCCCCTGGGACGCTTCTGTCGCTACGTTCTAGCGCAGAGCGCATTCCGAACCTTCTTCGGCGAGGAATTATTCGAAATCGAGCCGGAATTTACCCGCATCTACCAACGCTGGGAAGACGCCAGCTGGAAGATCTTCTATAACTTCCCCCATTTCCTCGCGCCGGGGCTACAAGCGGATCGTAAGCGTGTTATCGCTGCTCTCGCTGTGTATCTGGATCTACCTGAATCCAAGAGAAAGAACACCGCTTGGATATTCGGAGCTATGAATTCCGAATTGACCAATTTGGGCTTGCCTGCCCATGACCGCGCCGGCCTAATCATGATGATCTGTTGGGCGTATGTTTATCCCCCGCCCAAACAATTTTAACACTAGAAGCTAACTGGGAAACCACAGAATAAACAACAACGCCCACTACATCGCCTTCTGGATGTTCGCACACATTCTCACCAACCCAACCCTGAAAGCATCCATTGAGAGCGAAATATCCGCCTGCTTCCCCAGCCCAACCTCAGACCAAGGATGCGACATGGAGAAACTATCCAACGCATGTCCCCATCTCAACGCCCTCTGGGCTGAAGCCCTTCGGCTATACAATTTCTCGACGGCAGTGCGCAAAGCCGTGGATGACTGCTCCGTCGGAACTAAGATAATTCACAAGGGAGACCAAGTCTTCGGTCCCGTGCGGAACTTCCACTTGGCTGAGGGTGTCTTTAGTTCCGGGGCTGCGGACTTCGACTACACTCGCTTCCTGAAGAATCCTAAGATCAGACAGGCGAAGGAGTATTTCCCGTTCGGGGGTGGTCATACGCTGTGTCCGGGGAGGTATTTTGCTGAACGGGAGGTGTATTTGTTGGTTGCGATGAGTTTAAGAAGATTCAAGATGGAGGTCACGACTGCTGATGGGGACGTTGTGGAGAGCCCGAAAGTTCCAGACATTCGCATGGATTTGCCGTCTCTGGCGGCGGCAGCGCCGGCGGGGGATTTGTTTGTGACGGTGAGTAGTTGAAACTTTTTATACGTGGTGAAGGGTGGAATATGGGTGGGGTGAAGGAATATGTCGGAGGTGTTGTCAATATTCCCCAGCAAGTAAATAGTTGTATAGTCTGGTTCTTCAGTCATGGAATAGCTGAATGTGTATAGAGCATGTCGAAGATCTCTCGTCTGTGGTGGCCACTCCATGCATCAGTCAAGATGTTTTTGGCAAGACACCACGCAATTACATCAAATATTTGATTCCTACATCGTATAATTTCCTTTATCAATTCCATTTGCGTTGTGCCTGTCCAGAGGACAGGAAACAATCAATCCTTCGCTCCCAACTCCTCGTCTAGTAGTCTGTCAGTCCATCAACCACATAGATAAAACATAGCATCTTAGAAGCAAATCCAAACTTGAATATCAATCAAACAAATTACATACCCAATCCCCCGCCCTCCCCCTCCAATACACCAACCAAACAGTAACCACATCCAAACCCAACACAGGGACAATCCCCAAACACGTATCCACCGCTTCCTCCGTCCAACCATCACCATAGTAAGCATGCCATGCTACAATAGGGAGTGTAACAAGATGCATGGCAATAAATCCGATAAGTTGGATGGTGATATCAGTCGACATGCCGAAGAAGTAGAGCTGGATCCACACAATCATGCAGGTTCCTAGCCCTTCATATAGATTATACCAGAAGGGGCTCCATTCTGGGGATGGGATTAGGTAGAAGGAGAGGGTTTTGAAGAGGGATGGGAGGATGGTTGGTGGCATTGGTGGTGGTGATTTCTTCAGAGTGTTGTATATATGCTCTTGGGAATGGGGAGTTGGTAATGAATGGGTAGGTAGAGGTAGTTCTTGGTTTTTATGGGGTGGGATATCTTTCAAACTGGTTATTTGAGCTGGCCCCCTGAAGGCTCCATTGTAGGGCTGGAATTGGTATTCTTAAGGCCTGCGGATGGATCCTCGCTGTGGGGTAGGCCGAAACCTGGCAAATGGGCGGGTGCACTGAGAATCAATATTCCCTTGAACTGGCTCAAGTGGACCGATTATCGGCAATACGTCGGGTCCATTTATTTAGTTTCAATGAATATACACTGTGCGAAATAATTCAAAGTAATCATCGGTAACTATCAAGAACTCGTGATGAAGTATCCAAACCTATGGGTATAGTGATATGCGATGATAACAGTGGAGTTTTCTCTATCTCTTTTATATAAAGCGTATCATAGAGGAGAGGTAAATATACATATAGATCTCTTTATACAGTCCGGCCTAAGAACCTGTCTAACCCTCAAAGACATTTTGACTCAATTCCACGCCCATATCCTTGGCCATTCCCTGCATCTGCGCCTCAATGCTATCCTCCATACCACCACCAAGTCTCAAAAACTGCCGCACCTTCGTAAACCAGAAGAACAGGTCCGTGCTGAACAGCACCACGCGGAACAGCAGATGACGACCAAAGTTCCTCAGCTTCTCCGACGCCGACAAGTCCGGAGACTCAACAAGCGCGCGGGACGCCCATGTTCCGGTGATCTTGACGCGGTTGACAGGTGAGCCTAAAAACTGATTGTTGGCCTGAACGATGCGAAGGTTGCGGCCAATGAAGATCAGTGGGCGGGGCCATTTGGACTCATCGCCGAGAATGTCACGAATTGCTTTGCGGGCAGCTTGCTGCATTTCGTAGTGGCGCGTGGCACGCTCAGATTTGCTAAGCCCTTCGAAAGAGCGGTGCGTTGAGAGGTCGCCGCCGCGGTAGGGACGCATCAGGGTCGCAGAGGCGAAGAGGTCAGCATTCTGAACGCCCCAGCCGCGGACGATGGAGTTAAGGGTGGTGTTGTCAAAGGTGAGGAGGGCTTTCCAGAAGCGGGCGTACTGGTGTCGGAATTCAGTGTCCATGTGGATGTAGAGTCCGTGATCGATGAGGACAAGCTCTGGGTGACCGGAAGGAGTCCGGCGGATGAAGATGTTGCCTGGGTGCGGGTCGCAATGGACTATACCCCAGAGGAACATTTGTGCGGAAAAGAGGTCTACCATAGTAGTCATGACTTCCTTAAGAGAAAGGCCGAGACCAGCGCGAGCGTATCCACCGCGCCAGTGATCGCGCTCGGGCTTAATCTTGGTGGTAAGGTTCGGATTGCGAGCCACCTTGGCAACAGGGTCTTCGGTGTTGCGCGCGTCAAGAGGCGTGCCATGGCAGCCCGGGGTGCCGCTGCGCCAGCCGCCACGCCAGGTCCGCGTGATTGAGTCCTTGTCCCAAAGGCGGACACCCTCAATCCACTCGGCGGTCATAACACGCTTAGAGCTGAGCTCGCGGTAGACCTTGGGAATGTAGACGCGGCCGCGGAGACGGGACTCTCCGGCGACCAAACGCGCCATGTGCTCGGAGTTGTCGGCTTCATTTTCAAAGTCAGTCTCCAGGGAGAGACGCTCCGACACATAGGGTACCAGGCTGTAGAACGGGATATCAAAGGTACGGCTATAAATCCAGGCAACGACTCTGTTCTCATTAGCATTTCGTGGGCGATGCTGGGTGCGGGGTGGGAACTTACTTGAAAGCCCACAGATCCCATTTCAGCTGTTGAGCGATTTCACGTTTCTGTATCTTGATTGCCACCTCGCGGCCATCCGGAAGGCGCGCCCAATGTACCTGTGCTACACTGGCACTCGCGCGCGCAGCCCGCTCCATAACGCCCTTGCCGGGCTCACCCGAGAAGGAGACGCCAAAAACCTCCTCAGCGGAGCGGCCAAAGTCCTCGCGGATGACCTTCTCGACATCTTTCCAGTCGTTCTGAGGGGCGTCATCGAACATGCGCGAGAACATCTTCTGAAATTCCGGGGGCAGGATGGCGGACTGCATAGCGATGGCTTGGCCGATCTTCAAGTACAGACCGCCATTGTGACGCAGGAGATCGGACAGACGCTCAGCATTGCGGGTGTGTACGGCATTGATATCTCTGGCCAGCGGCGGGTTGGGACGGAAGTTTATCTTGTAATCCAGGGCTACCAGAAGACCCAAACTGAAGGTGCGAGCCGTTCGTGTCAGAGACGAGGCGTAGAATTGGGTGTCGAGGACGTAGACGGTGCCGGTGGCTAGCGACAGGTAGAACAACCGACGAAGCCATTTTCGGGTGCGATCGTAGGTTTTGGCCTTGGTAGGTCTACCTAGGGAGGCTGGCGAGGGCGGGACGAAAGGCTGGTAATGGCCTGCCTGGACATATTGACGGAGCTGGAAGAGACGCTGATGGGGTGCACGAGGGGAGAGGTGGACACGCGGGCGAGCAAGCTGGGAGGGAAGGGAGCGCCAGGCGCGGGAAACGGTGGCCGATGCCATCAGAACGAGAAGACAGGTATGAATATTGTCATGGCGGGGGCATGTAAGAGGACAGTGAAGTCAATGGCGTGACAATGGCGAGAAGTAAGCGAATTCGTTTCAAGCAGAAACAGAGGGGGAAACGCAGATGACGTGAAGGCGGAGAAGGAAGTCGGAGAGGATGACGAATTGCCCGATCTGGCCATTCGGGCGGAGAATTGAACCAAGATACACGTTTTCTCCCATCATTTCCACTCTCTTCAGAGTTCAGATATATACCCCTTAGGAAAAGATAGAAAAACAAAAGAAAAAGAAAAAGAAAAAAGAAATTGATGATGTACAGTCCAAATTATCTCGACATATGAAATCAAGATAGTAGCTGTGGTTGTTCTCTCTGAGATTTCGCTATCAGTGTGGATCCCCTATTGAATCTAACCCTGAACTACTGTAAAAACAGTAGACCACAAATGTCTGGTGCTACTCAGAGATCATTTGTCAAATCAGATACATTATTGTTGTTCTTTCTACTCCAGGCCAAAGCAGAGTGCAGCGACAGAACATTACATGAATGATTCATGTACGATGGAATGTGAACGCATCGTAAAACTGGCATGGTTCTTAAGAGCAGCAACGTTGCTCTTCATGTCCAGGTGAGATCAAGTCTTCCTCTGTGCATCACAGGGATGTTAGTGATAAGACCAAGAATTCGACACGCTAAACAAGACTACTAGTATTACCCTAGCCCAGTAGATGTACACAGTGAAGAAGTCCGATGTGCGTCACAAGACCAAAGAGAAAGAGAGCTTTCCAGAAGTTCAAAATGCCGTGTCAGCAGAGCGCCTACATACGCAGAATGAACAACGATAGAAGCGAGCCGAGTTGCTAAGAGCAATGTGCTCATGCACGGTAACCGGTGTGGTGCCAGGAGCTGTGACCGAAGGTCGGACAGCATGCCCATAGTCGTGGCAATCTCCTACGTCAGAAATGGTGGGATCGACATGATGATAAGCAAGTATAGTCGCTCAACATCTGTATACCAAAACCGAACAAAGCCAGATCACATCCAGAGCGGTGCATGATTGTCCCTAAAAGGACAGCCCCGAGCATGAGTGGAATGCTTCTTATACATCCTGCCGCAAGCTGGATGAAGATAGCCGAGGGAACTCCTGGTATACTGAAGGAAACCGCTGCAGATACCGGAAATAGACAAGAAGCACACATGTGTAAAATCAATCTTCCTTTACTCTCGCTTTTGCGCGCTTTGTATTGACTGAAGCCTCGACAGCGGTCAATGTTGGATATGGAAGAGGACAGAAACCGGCCATGATAGAAGCTATATAATCAGAAGCTTTGGTTGATTGTCCGATTTGTCTTGTTGCAGAATCCGAAGGTGGCAAGTTTGCAGTTGTCCAGGCTGTGAATCGTTAACACTTTGGTCTTGATGGATCTACGTTGAACTCAGTCCGAAGCCAGATATACGGCATTCAGTAACCCCCAAATCATATATATAATAGCGAGTACTTCTTCCTGGTTCGCAATCTTCTTTGTACATTTCCATAACAACCATATCACCTATAGCCTTCTATGATAGCAGCCATAGCGCCCGAATCCTGTAACAGTGATCAATATAATCAACTGCGTGAGTCCATCAGAGGCCGAAATGTCACCATACCAAATCTATACAAGCTACTTCCTGAATGAGAACTTTAAGTTCATCCCATGTACTAGAAGGCACGAGATGAATGTCTGACTCCCTAGGTGCAACGGTACTGTATTACCTGACATAAAGTTGCTGGCTATTTCCCAAATACTGACTTGCAGTAGCTGGGTGGATAATGAACTTATATTCCGAAATTGGAGCGGGCCGATTGCATCATGTTTGTTGCTACTCTTTGCTCGGGATCTTCGTATGAAAAACTCTGTACGTTCGCAAAATACATGGCTTGGGTTTTTCCAGCGGCTTTTACATATGTCATACATTCTGACTGGCAAAATGTAGTATCTTATTTGGGATGACTGTGGGTGCCCATTCTTCCCATTTATGACTTACTATTCTGAGGAATATGATTTCCGGTGAGTCTTCGATTGTGGTGCATTTAAGGACGACCCTCATGCGGCGTCTCTGTGCCGAAATACAAATGTGAAATATTTCAAGTACGATCTTGTTCTGGAAGATGAATATCCAGACTTGCCACATTTTCCAGTTGAACAGCAAAAAGCATTGCGTTGCTGGGATGAAGTCAGGGCCCATATTCGTCAGGACTGTGACAGAGGTATGTTACATACACCAATGTATATGGTACTGCATGTAAAGTCTGACTGCCGAAGAAACTTGCCAGATCCTTCTCGAAAAGATGCTAGGATATGTTTCCAGTGTTAGCAACGTGGACAGTTTGTTCAGCAGCAGTTCCATGCCATTAGTGGAGAGTTACTGGCAACGGAGAGAGCGGACAGCAGCTGTGTACTGTGTTATATGCACCTGTCCGTGAGAATTCTGCTGTGTTTTCCGCTTTCTAGTCTTCTTACCAAGCAATCATCGAGCTTTGCATATGGATTCAATATTACGAGGGCTCACGTGGAGAATGAGCACATGTCCCGCATGTGGAAACATACATCTTACTTGGCTCACATGCAAGTCATCTGCCCGATGCTCTTTTCAATCATGGACACTTAATATGGCGTCAATATTGTCAGATCAAACGATATACAGTCATCCCAAAAGAAATATGTATGTCATGAGACTTGTCCCTTATATTTTACACTCGACTGACACTGTCAACACCAGAATGATGAACAGCCGGAGAACCTGATTCCGGTGCTTATGGCAAACACAGGACTTGATGTTAACCAGACAATGCAGCTCAACCACCATATTTGTCGTTTGGAAGTAGAGGGCTTCTGCGCCAATGCAGATAGGCTCTGTGTGGGTGAGGATGCCCAAGGACGCCGTATTCGGGAAGTCTTCATCAATTGCTGTACGGACATGTTCATGGGACTCATACATTGGAGGTATTACAGACCCCTGGCCAAGTACAGAGTCTCGGCTGACCTTTACCTAGTTATGTTAGCAAGCGCTGGATCAAGCAAACGGACATCAATCCTGATCGAACTATTATATTCCAGGTTGGATCTACAAGAGGTCCTCGGTTGAACAATATTTGACAATGATGTGGCTGAACTTGGAAGGCTTGTTGGGCAGACGTGAAGGGCCCTCTGGTCAAAAGGTTATTGTCAGCTAAACACATCACTACTATCATGCGGGAGTCTATTTGGCCAAGAGAAGGTTAACCCAGCAATTTATACAATGGATGAGCGTTCCAAACTTTGGGGAAGCCACTCGCATTATCACAGCACATACCATGTATCCCAAGTTGGACCCGCTTTGTATTACAGATTTGCGCTCTTCGAGTACTAATTAGACCATCATCCATTCCGTAAGTCACTTTTTGGAGCTTCAGGAAAAGTCAAAGAAAATAGTCCGATAGTAGATAATGCTAAGTATCATATTCGTCTTACGCCATTTGCTCGATAAGTACTAACTACTACACCCCCAACAACTCCTCCACCCCCACCATCCCCATCCCCCCAAATCCCCCACCCAACCTCCTACAAACACCCGCATACTCCCTCATCTTCCCCGGAATAATGACCTCCCACAACTCATCCTTCTTCAACCACTCCAACTGCTCACGACACACCTCCTCCCTCGCCAACGGCAACAACGTGGGCAAATTACTCAGCGCCGCCCGCACAAACCCCTTCTTGAAGCACGTCCCAAACGCCGCCAACGTCTCACCATCAGAGCAAATATCCCTGCCCTGCAACAATGGCCCGCACTGTCGCTTAATCACATCCGCTACATCATCGCCCAGCCGCACCATCGCCTCCTCCTGCCGCGGGTTATCAACATGTTCCATGAGACTGCGCACCGCGGGAAGGAAGGTATTGTTGCGCGTCCAGAGGTCCCAGTGCGGTACGGTGGGTTGACATCCCTTGTCGCAGACTTCGCGCTGGAATTTGGTGAAAATGTCGTTGGGGCGGCCTGTTAATGTGGTGAGGACGCGGATGCAGAGGGGGCTGAATTTGGCGGTGGTGAGGAGGGGGAGGAAGAAGAGAGTGATGGTGGTGGTGAGGAGGAGAGACGGCGGGAGGTGGAGGTGGAGGCGCATGGTGGGTGGTGGTAGATTTGATGGCGGCCTGCGCGCTGCATGTAAAATCAAGAAACCGGTCTTAATTAACTCTGTATTATCGTAGACTTCGTCATGAGAAAAAAGAAAAAGAAAAGAAAAGATGGGGTTGTTAGGAAGGAGCAAGAAAGCAAAACCGCTCAGTTGGTTGTGGTTTCTCCTCAAACTCCAGGTTTCTTGTTTCTTCTTTTTCCCCTGATTGATCGACACCCCGCAGAAATCGGTCATCATCCATCAATCCCTCGGCATCCATCCTTCGGTCATGCACCTGCTTTTCGCATCATCATCATCAGCAGCATCATTATCAGCAGCATCAAATTACCAATAGTAATTCCAAAGCGTAAATTCCCTCATGAAAAAAAATTCCAGGGCAATTCCACGCACAGACACCGAATATGATCTCTCATATTGACATCATGATCTGATCCTCTCCCCCAGCCCCTCGGCCCTCCAGAAACTTATCATCGCGGCCAGCGCGGGAATACCCGTTCAAAGTTCTGACAGCCACGCTGCAGAATCTGAAATGAAAGGGGAGCGGCAGCAGCAGGAGCAGGAGCCCTCTGGATCATCGTGACACACAGGAAACTAGTGGTGATGAGCACTTGCAGCAGGCGTCCGATGGTTCGTGCCATTGCATCTGATCTGTCCAGCTGGTGATATGATATGGAATGCGGGGATGGCTCGATTCGGATAATTAGGCATCGGGGCTGCGCGTGTTGTTCGTCGGCCGTGTCTCGGGTTTTATCACGAAAGGGGAGAGTGTGAGTGTGGGTTAGTAGATAGCAGTAGTCATGGGATGTATCGATCTGTCTGTCGGTCTGTCGGTCAGTTCCTCACGGGGCGTTTGCAGGGGGTGTTGTGGGATGGGTTTCACATCCAAACCTGTTCGAACAGGTTCGATCCCGCCAGTCCGTGTTTGTGCGCTGCTGTTGATTAGATTGGGTTTGGGGAATTGGGTTCATCCCTCCCTCCCTCGTTTGTCATGGGCCCTTTTCCCCCGTGTGGGTGGAGTCAAGTCGGGAACGAGTTGTTCTACTGTACAAATCTACGGCAGATCTTCGTTCTCCTGAACCATACATACTATCTACTCCGTAGTCTATTTCATTTTCACTCAGTGATGAGAGTGGATGATGGATGATGACCCTTGGGGTGTTGTTCACATGTCTTCATTAGAATTATTATGTTACTCATCTGACCCAGTCAGTCAGGTTTAATCAATACCGAAACCGGCCGTGCCTGATTCTCCCTTGCTTCCCATGCCCGAAACTCCTCGCTAAACTCATTCCGAAAAGAAAAACTCCCAGTGCAACCGGTGACAAGAAATGTAACAAATAGATAGGAAATGTCTCAGAGAGTGATCCAGCATGCTGGACAATGTTGAGATGATGTGATGATGTGATGATGTTGGTGATAAACAAATGAAACAACCGTCATGCCAGACGGGTATCGCTCAGTAGCTATGCAAAATCTTGGTGGAAAGAAGAAGTCGTCGAAGAAAGTCGAAGAATGAAAAAAAAGTTTATCGACAAAACATAAATCTCAAGGAAGGAAGGCAATCAGGCCTGTCGGCGACGTCGCAATTCGTCGCGGTTGAGTAGTCGCCGAATTCGTGACACAATGCGGCATGCTGTGGAGTCTGCGCAGACGTTAGCGTGGCTCATATGCACCTTGTCTGACAGATCAGACTGGTTGGATTTGAAATCGGAGGCAACCGATGAAGGACGTGTGCACATACCACTGTTCCTGCGTAGCATCGACTTGGTCGAATAATGCTCCGACGCTTCGTCCACTGAAAGGCTGCTGTCATATCCAGCGTAGTGGTTGGCCTTGCACCACGGGTACTCGTCGGTCTGGAGCTGAAGAGCCACGACGTGTGGGTAGAGTGTCCCGAGAGGGTAGAGGATCTCTTCGGTGGAAAGTTCGCGCTTCATCTCGAAGCTCTGGCTAGTCTAGAAGGCATCAGTAACTGGTCTTCCGTTCCTTTGGAACAAGATCACTCACATAAGGCTCGTAGTTGGTGCGGTAAGGCATGGTGAGTGAGTGAGCAAGGTAGCGACAGACGAGTGTGGTGATTGTAGAGGATAGTGTAGTAGTAGTAGTAGTTGGAAGAGTTGTAGAATGCACTGATCAATGCTATTATACACGTTCTGAAAGAGACTTTGTGATGGATGGAGAACGAGTGCCTTCCGTCCGGGAGAAACCTTGATGGTTATATAGCATGAGATAGCGAAGCATGCTGTGGTGGAGGGTGACGGTCAGCCACTCCGTCCGTAATCATTTAGAGTGGGGAAGCTTCAGCGCATGGCAGGGTGACCCTGGATTAACGCTGGGCTTGGCCGGCCTAAGATTTCCATTTTTACTCTTTTCTTTTTCTCTTTAATCTCTGCAGCCTCCATGGCTGGCGGGCATGTCCACTGTGATGGATCTAATCGCCCGAATGATTTGAGTTTTAGCGGCAGTCATGATCTCATCATATCATAAGCCTGCGGGACTAGCGAACCAGTGATCAGGTAAAAACTGGGACAAATCGACTAAATCTGACTAGCGTCCTGACGAGCTGGGCCATGTCGGTCCGAAGACTAAGAGAGAGGCTACGATGGAGCGGCTATCCCGATCTCTCAGGTCCAGAATAGACATCCCAGCAAGCAGGTACCTACGAGCATTGTGAGCGCCCACTGAGCGGTTCGGCCAGGTTCGGTGGTCTCCACCCGTCAGGCACGCCAGGTCTCTCTAAACCGGATGAGGAGTAGGCTCGAAGCAGCGGCTGAAGCAGGCGAAGGCGGTGGACCCAGGGTTAGCGTGGACGCCAGGCCTCAACACGACGCTGGATCCAAGTCTGACTGGCTGACTGGCTGGTCGCTGCTGATCGACGTCCAAACCACCGGTGTCTCCGATGGGCGATGGCCGATGGCCGCGCTGGCAGGCCTTCCCTCCCTCCCCCTCCATCCCCTTGCATATTGGGGAGTCAGGTGCATCGGATCTCCTCCACGTTTGCAGTTCCTGGGGGGGCTGCATATGTATGATGACTATAAGGGTAAGAGGGAGCGCATGCCTGTACCACCCAGGGGGGTGTTCGCAATCACCCGCATAAGCCAAGGTCATCAGGACCATGTGTAAGATTGAGAGAGTTACTACTAGTAGGTAATCATGTGTCATGATTGCGTCGTCTATGGGTGCGGGGATGCCAGAGGAGCTGTCACAGATCGGTGTCGACTATTGATTCTCCATTGACTGGGGGGGCCAGAGTAGTGGGCAGAGTAATTAGTCTGGTTTGGGAGACAACAAGTTGTGGTCAAGGTTAGTCCAGGTCGCCGATGACCAGGACCACACTTAGGTTTGCAGGCGGTGGGTGGGCTTTGACCCAGACCCAGGACATGGGTAACTCAAGAAGGCACTAGATGGGAGACTTGCTAAACTCACACGGTCGCATATTAGTTTCCCATTGGCGCCGGTCGCTTTATTAAACGCAATCAACGATAGATTAAACCATGGGTGAGCGGGTTGAGGGGAAGGAGGATAAGCGAAGGAGAAGCAGACCCCGGTGCTCTTGGCCATTCCAAATCCTTTGTGTTAGCGTCGCTGGGGTTGTCCAGGTTCCCGGGATTGCAAATCTGTGGTGCAGAGAAACAATGGCCATACATCATCGAGGTGGATGATGGCTACTAGTAATGATCTGGTATAGTATTATAGTAGTATGGAAGCACTAAGACATTAAGACACCAGGATTGACTCTGTACTCAGTAGTTCAAAGTAGTTCCAAGTCTCCCCCTGCGGTTCCTGGGATTTATCAGGGCAGTGATTGGGTCACGGTGCCTGGGCAGTAACCCAATGCGGCAAGACGGTGTACCTCAGGCTCGGGTTTCACAGGGCCTTACAGCCTTAGGCCGGAATAGGGCTGCACAGCCACTGCGCCCCACCCGCGCCACATCACGAACTATGCCACTAGTCCTATCATAGTATCATCGTGGCTCGCTTTTCTGTGGCTGGAATGCTGTGGCTTGACCCATCCCCGTCAATAGCAGCAAATCCGTGATAGCCTCAGATCCTCGCATGGGCAATAGTTTGCGCGCCAGCTCCACCTGCCATGCGGATCCTCGTGAGCTTGCTCCCACCGTTCTTGGGCCTTGCATTTCCGCATGCTAATCCCCAATTTTTATCGGTCTGACCGTCGTTCCCAACATGGAGGAAAGGAGGAGTATAAGGAGGGCCTACCCTCGTGCTTGAAGTCCACGAATTCACCGATTCTCCATCTTCTCCAGACTTCACATCAATCTTATAAGTCTATAACCTCTCAGACATCATATGTCCTTCCTCCGTGGTCATGAATACAAACATGCATATGAATCTGTCCCCCTGCGGAAAAGACTCGAGGCCAACTTCACCTCCTCCCTACGTCGAGTTTCACGATCCTTTCTCCGCCGCATCTCTGGCATATCAACCCCAAAGTAAGTCTACTTCCATGTTTTCCATCAAGTCACCTATCGTCGTGAAGCCATGCCAACCCCTCCGCAGAACCTCTTTGTCTTGACATGGACACTGAAACCAGTCCTGGTAGACCCGAACCTCCGGCCTTAGCTGTTCCCATGACACCGTCGTCTCCAAGCTGGCCTGTCCACCCTGATCCTTGCCAATTTCAGGATCAACCCTTTATGCGCACAGGCACGGAAGAGGTTCCCGAGCCTGCTTCAGACCTTTGCCCGGACCTCCTTGACTCCTGGTACCCGAGGTACCTGGCATGCACGCAGTTCTTTGTTTCCTATGCGCAGCATACCCCGACAGTACAGTCGTTGGCCGCATTTCTCAACATTCGACTGCCTTGCCAGCAATCTGGGGCCCCGGCAACCCATCCGTCATTACGCGCCTACATTCGGCGCCTCATCGTAACAGCACAGGATAGTCCTGAGATGCTTGGCGCGTTCTTCGGAGAAGATTGGGTCGGGGGAGTGGGGAGCATTGTCAAGCAAGAGCGGGTGAATTACTTGTTTACGGCAAAGAGCGGCGGGTGGGCGTCAACAAAGGCGGCGTATGATATTCTGCCGGACGAGCAAACGCCATTTTTACGGCCATTGCGAGCAGCTGCAGAGGAAGAGTTACGCGAGGCGGAAGCCCGCTGGAGTGAGTGGTTGGCGATGGAAGATTGGATGGTTGGACCGCGCAGTCCGTGGTGAATCTATGTTAGCTATGATGGTTACGATGATGAATCTCCTATGTAAAAATATATTTCCTATGTTCAATATATTTATTTTCCCAAGCATCAATTATTCTAGTTTACAGCGATGAAAAATGTATAACTACTATTATTACTATAATTCATACAATGTTGGTTGTATATTTCATCTACATCTACTACTCCATCCGATGAAGCAATATACATCGCACCCCCAACAACAATATACCCAAAGCAGCTACTATCTATCCACTACAAAATCGTCCAAGTTCCAAAACATGCGTCGATCACTCCACGTAAATCCCGACGACTCCATAATCTACGCGAAATCACAGAATTCCAAATCACAACCCCATAGATTAATTAAGCTACACCCACATCTCCTTTACCCAAACGGGCATGACGACGACCCGGGAGCATGGGACCTGTCAAAAACGCGACCGACACCGGCTCAGGAGAATTCTCCTCCACACAGAATGCACAGAACAACAAGGGAAAAACAATTCCATTCAGGCCCACATGGTGTCGTTGCCCAGAAGATGAAATCTCTGCTTCAACATCAGCCAGCCACCAGCACTCGCAGTTGGCTACCAGCTGGAGACTAGACATGCGACGGAGGCAGCACTAGGGGGTTTTAGTTCGTTTCTAGACGGGATAAAAATAACCGGGCGCAGGAACCCGGGGGTTTAGCATGGATGATTATGATGCTGATGCTGTCAGGGTTGAAATTTCAAACTGAACTAGATAAATTAGACTGGATGAATAAATTAACTCCTGATTTTAGGAGATTTAATTTTTTAAGGTATTGTTGTTGATGAAGTTAAGTTGTCTTGACGCACCGCCACATCGGGGAAGTCGGGGTCCCCGACAGGAGGAATTTTGCACCTTAACACGGGCTTGCTTGTTTGTTATCTCTCCATCTCTCTATCTACTAACCATCTATCGTGCTCGGGAAGAATGACAAATTCCTCTCTTAGCTTATTAACTATCGACTACTAACTATATCCCCTTAAGCTATATCATATCAACCCCAATTGGGTAAAATGACGCCTTCGGGCACGTCCGAAATTAACGACTCGTCATATTAAGCCCATTTTCATGACTCACTCACCTTCAATTAAGGTAACCCATCAAAGTGTCATTTTTTTAGACGACTGTTGACACGGACATTTTCCATCTCTCGCGTGGTGGTTTCCTTCCATTCTTCCATTGCATTATCTGAATTTCTCCGTCTGGCATCCCACCACCACTCACATTCCTCCTATCTACTAGCTACTTCTCCCTATTTACGGGCCTATACCCACTTCCAGTCGATCAAACAGCCAGCCACCCGCCAGGCACCATGCCAGCTACACCACTGACAAGGATGTCAACTGCAACCCGGGATCATGCCCAGGACAAGGCGGATCCCATTCTCCATCAGGCCTGTCGCTTCGACGAAACATCACCACATTCTGAATGGACCCAGACCCAGCTGCTTCCATTGCTCCGGTCCCATCTCCCTCACTCCCTGCCCTTGCTCCGCCGTATCCAGCATGAGATCGCCCATCCGTCCCCCACTGCAGTTATCCTTACCACATTCTCGGGTCCAGCCTCGTCCTCAGCCTCGTTGCCAGTCTCACCCTCAGCCTCAGGGGAATCAATTCCAGAACTAGTCTCTAATCCTGGTCTAGTTTCAGTTCCAGGTCCCCGGGTCCCCGACACTGCGACTCCTTTGGCACCTGACACCGCGGTCCCTGCAGCTCCTTCGGATCCTGAATCCTTCCTTCCCTGGCTGATCGCCTACGTTGACCTTAACGCTGGTCGCGAGAATCAAGTCATGGTGTACTCGAGTCTTGAGCGCACCGCCTCTATTCCCTGCACTAGCACTAGCACCTCCCCAGAAGCATCATCCCCAAAAGACACTTCCAGTAGTGACCGTGATGATAGTAACACAATCCCCATAACCACCCTCCCACCTCAACACCACCCCCTTCTACGCACCCAATTCCTCTCCCTGTTACACCACATCAAACAACACCTCCTCCCCCCTTACCTCACCACCCTATCCCAATCCCCTTCAACCCAAACCCAACCCCAAGACCACCAACTTCCCCCTCCTCCCCCGACCGCCTTCTTATTCGGAAACCTGCACACGGGCCTCTTCTCCACTCTCCTCAACACCAACACATCCTACTCTCTCGCGCAGGCCACCTCACCCGCAGATTTCATCCCGGGGATCAAAGTCCACCGCTTCAGTCAGCCAGCCTACGTCAAGTATCTTCTTCCCAAGGAAGTCATCTGCCATCAACCTCAAGACAAGGAACGACGGAACTTACCTCCCGGCTTCCACTTCAGCGATGGCTGCATCCCGAGAAAGAATCTAGGACTTGTACGGTCGAGAACAGTCATTCCTAGATCAGAGGGGACGCTGGCAAAGTTGAGGAGTTGCGCGGTGTATCGCGATGGGGATGTGACTCAGACGCCAGTTGCGTGGGCGTTCCTCGGCACGGATGGGACTTTGGCTACGTTGCATGTGGAAGAGGAGGTTAGGGGGTTGGGGTTGGCTGGGGCTGTGGGGAGGGAGGTGATGAGGAGGGGGATTGAGGAGGATGAGGGCTTGAAGGATGGGTGGATGCATTCGAATGCGGCGGAGGATAATTTGGCGAGTAGGAGGGTTATGGAGAAGTTGGGGGGGAGGGTAGGGTGGACGGTTTGTTGGTGTGTTTTGGAGGTGTAGATTACATACTATGTAGATTGTATATATTTTGCCTATGTATAGAATCGATCATGATGTTCTTTGCCAGGAAATGTAACGAACTTAATGTGGGCTGTCACTGCATCTACCACTACATGCCTAGTACTATAGCGATACTCAACCTCCCATTACCAGTTCTACTATACCTCATCATCAAAACAAACTACAAGGCACATTACTCAACCACAACATATCAAAGAAATCTGGTAAATCCCAAGTTTCCAATACCGCCGCCGAGAGATCCTCGCCTAGCGAGTCAATGTGCACACATATATATATAGTAGAGATGATATATCTTTTTTTTAGTTCGTATCTCGCACGGTACCTAGTACCTTAATGGCTTACTAGTTAATGAGGACAACCTTAGTTAGTATTCACCGAATTTCTCAGGACTCCGTGGATTATGAAAGGGTATTGTACATTCACCAATACTCTTGCAGTTGCAGTGAACAAAGGAGTGATTTAAGCGACAAGGCCATGATAACCGGCAAACACTTCTCCAAAAGAAAACGCCCTCGAGTGGATGATAGCGGCTATGTCGCCACTGGCAAAAGGATCGCGTGCCCCAATGGTGCTTCAGCAAGGGGTTTGACAAGTTTGCTCCCTGTGTCCCCTAAGGAATTTACATAGAATTAAATTTGCTTGAAATTCCTCCGGGCTGCAGTTCTCTACGCATGTAGGTCCTCAGGCGCAGCCGACAACCTGCGTTTTTTTCCAATCGCTGGTCAACGGCGAGGTCTGTCAGGGTATATACTCTAATGACTTACTATTTGATGTGCCTATCTTAGTAGCTTTCTTGGGCAGGGGACTGCGTTTGGAAAAGGGGACTGTTTTATCGTAACTGGGACGCCGTCGAGACGGCGATGGGATGACTCCGCCGACGTATCTGAGGGATGGAGATGTTGTTGATGCAGTGGTTGAGGGGGTTGGAGGGTACGAAGGAATGTTATGGGCTTTTGAGTAGGAAGTGGTTGCTATGCTCCTGCTCGGTTGATGTTATGGGTTTGCTTGTGCATCAGTTTCAGGTTTTGGAGATTGTTCTGTAGTAAGAGGTACATAGTCCGGTTTAAAAGTAGAATTATGTTTTAAATGTGTATAGAATCTAGGGTTACCATGTTCTTCACTTCTGATTAATGATATTATATTCCCTCATTATATACATTAGTGCACTGCATACCACAGCACTTCCATAAAGGTCAATTAGTAACCAAGAGTAAGTGACAGTATCATATCTTATTCTTACTATCATCCCCCCACACTCCACACCCACCACTCATCCCATACTCAATCCCAGAATACCCTGGAGGTCCTCCGTCCCTCGTCCCATCACCATCATAAACAGCAAACGGACTATCCGCCTCCACTGTCTTGATCGTCGCCCACAGCACCGCCCCATCAGCCGTAACAATCATATCCGACGCCCCATCTCCACCATCACAATCCCATCGGCATCCTCTCTCAACGGGGATATTGATCAATTCCCGAGAGGATTGAGCGGGGAGCTCAGCACGAGGACGGTAGAAGCCTGTGTCGCTGAGTTCAGCAGCCCGGTTCTTTTTGTAGGGGTAGGATGGTGTTGAGTCGGGAAATGTGAAATTGGGGAGGGATGGTGTGTGGCTGTGACTGTGTTTGTGCTTGTGTTTGTGCTTGTGTTTGTGGGTGTGAGTGTGATGGGTGTACTTGGGTAAGGGGGAGGTGCTTCTTCTTCTTCTGGTTCTTGCTGTTGGTGGTGGACGGGGTGAGGTTCCTGGGGGAGAGGTTAGTTTGTTACTACGATATGGGTGCATCCGATGGTTAGAGGGTATACCATTCTGTGACTCGGGTTTGCTGTTATGTATACTGCGCCATCGTAGCAAGGTAAAGGTTTGGTGTCTTCGTTTTCGGGCACGCTGAACGCAGAAGACTAGTAAAATGACGAGAAGGACGAGGCCTACGGCCCCGGCCACTGTTCCCCCTATTAGGGCTGCGGTGGGGTGCCATGTGCCTACGTCTTGGGATGTTGCGAGGCTTGCTTGAGTAGTGGACTGGGTAGGGGCTGTTGATGTTGTTGAAGCGAGTGTCGTGGTAGGATGTCGAGTTGAGGTAGAGGATGTAGTTGTGGCCATCGTCGTGGAAGAAGCTCTTGAAGCTGTCGATGTACTCCTGACAGATGAAGGGGCCTCTGTGCTGGTCTCCGATGAAGATGTAGGAGTAGAAGCTAGTGCAGACGAAGTAGATATTGTGGATGTGGCAGGCTCTTGAACCAAGGTTGTCAAGGAGACGGGCTCATCCTTCATGGTAGGAGCAGCATCAACGAGAGAAGAACTGCTGCTACTACCACCACTGCTTCCACTGCTGCCACTCTCATCCGGACAGACCCCCGTCGTGCACGGATCGACCGAACAGCAGCCCTTGAACCCACCAGCAGCGCAGACATACCACTGCGCATTGGCCGGGCAAGACCCGTTCTGGCGGACAGCAAGCCGTGCCATGCTGCAAGCACTGCAGATATCGCTTACAACACAACAGAACCAAACTAAATCAATAGTCGGGCACAGTAATTTTAAACGAGTGTCAGAGATCTAAACGAACGAAGTAATGATCTGATGTTCACCGGCATGTGCCGATGGCGATGAAATATCGACTTTCCTTGAAGATTAGAGGGCAAAACTTAGTCAGTGCCAGCCACAGTGGGCGACGCCGTCTAGAATGTTGAATCCCGTTCTTTGTTCTGCTCATCCCGCAGTGGGTAAAGTTTCCAACTCAACCCGAGAAGCTCGTGAGGAGATGCATTGCCGCCCCGTCCAGACAAGGGACCCGGATGGTTTTCCATGGGGCGAATCCGATGCATCCATCGTCGCGGGCTTTATAGCTCTGAGACCGATCGAGAAGGTCGTCTGCTTGCCACAAGGTCGAAAACGGTAGTACTAGAATCTATTGTTGGAGAATCCTGCGAGGGTCTATGGTCAATGTCCTTCGTTTAAGGGGTTTCTCGAGAAAAAGCCCCCTGCGGGTCATCTAGTTTTCTTTGTCTTCGGCCGCAGGATCAAAGAGGATGCGAGCGCTGACGCCAGCCTTCCTTTGACATGTAGTTACCATTTGCAGCAAGACATTAACACGAGACAGTACTCTGTGGCTCAACACAAAAACTCCATTGTATGGGATGTAGTAAACGGCTATAAAAGACAATACACGTGAGTACACCAAACTCATCGCCTGGAAAGAAACCTTGGATATACACATATGAACACACAAAATAAACACGGTCGAATTTTCGTCACGCTCTTTTCCTCCACCATCCCCTAGGCTAATACATCGCGTCTAGTAGACACGCTTGAAGGGGGGCACCGACTTGCACTCGCTCTCATCGAGAGTGTTGTGCTCAACGGCGCGGTAGCCAAGCTTGACCTCACCGTGGGGCTTCTTCTGCCAGGTGAGGGTGTGCTTCATCCAGTTCTCGTCGTCACGGTCGGGGTAGTCCTCACGGGCGTGAGCACCACGGGACTCCTTACGGTTGGCGGCGGCAATGGCGGTTTGAGAACTGTGACTCGAGTTAGCCAACATCCAACATTACAACACTCTCCAGGGATACATACGCGCAGGTCAACAGGTTACGAAGCTCAAGGGTCTCAACAAGATCCGAGTTCCAGATCATGCTGCGGTCCTTGGTACCAACCTGGTCGAAGGTCTGGTCGATAGCAGTGACCTTCTCAACACCCTCATCCAAACTCTCCTGGGTACGGAAGACGGAAACATCGGACTGCATGGCCTTCTGCATGGCGCTGCGGATGTCGTTGGTGGACTTGGGGCCCTCGGCGGTACGGACGAAGTCCAGGTCGGCAATGGACTGAGCACCAGCGTCGGAGCTCAGCTCCTTGTGGGGCTTGCCAGGGGTGGCGATGTCACGGACACGGTGGGAGACGGCACGGCCGAAGACAACCAGATCCAGAAGAGAGTTGGCACCGAGACGGTTAGCACCGTGGACGGACACACAAGCGGCCTCACCGCAAGCGTACAGACCAGGGACAACCTGGTCGTTGCCGTTCTCATCCTGGGTCAGGACCTCACCGGTGTACTTGGTGGGGATACCACCCATGTTGTAGTGGACGGTGGGCAGGACGGGGATGGGCTGCTTGGTGACGTCGACACCGGCGAAGATAGAGGCGGTCTCGGAGATACCGGGCAGACGCTCGTGCAGGAGCTTAGCGGGCAGGTGGCTCAGCTGGAGGTAGATGTGGTCCTTCTCGGGACCGACACCACGGCCCTCACGGATTTCCAGGGTCATGGAACGGGAGACAACGTCACGGGAGGCCAGATCCTTGGCGGTAGGGGCGTAACGCTCCATGAAACGCTCACCCTCGGAGTTGAGCAGGTAACCACCCTCACCGCGGGAACCCTCGGTGATCAGGCATCCAGCACCGTAGATACCAGTGGGGTGGAACTGGACGAACTCCAGATCCTGGTTGGGGAGACCGGCACGGGCGACCATGGCCATACCGTCACCAGTGCAAGTGTGAGCAGAAGTGCAACTGAAGTAGGCACGTCCGTAACCACCGGTGGCCAGGACAGTGTGGTGGGCCTTGAAACGGTGGAGGGTTCCGTCCTCCTGGTTGTAGGCGATGATACCGCGGCACTCGCCGTCCTCCATCAGAAGGTCGAGGGCGAAGTATTCGATGAAGTAGTTGGTGTTGTGGCGGAGAGACTGTCCGTAGAGGGTGTGAAGAAGGGCGTGACCGGTACGGTCAGCGGCAGCGCAGCAACGGTAGGCCTGGCCACCCTTTCCAAACTCCTTCGACTGACCACCGAACGCACGCTGGTAGATACGGCCGTCCTCGGTACGGGAGAAGGGGCAACCGTAGCCCTCCAGCTCACGAACACTAGCGGGAGCTTCTCTGGTCATGTAGTGAATGGCATCCTGGTCACCCAGCCAGTCAGAACCCTTCACGGTGTCGTACATGTGCCATCTCCAGTCATCCTCGTGCATGCTGCAGGCCGGACCATTAGCGCCTTCGCAAGACTCAAGGATATAAAACAACTCACTTTCCAAGAGCGGCGTTGATACCACCCTGAGCGGCGACAGTGTGAGATCTCGTGGGGAAAAGCTTAGAAACACAGGCAGTGTTGAAGCCAGCTTCCGCCAGACCGAAAGCGGCACGCAGACCGGCACCACCAGCACCGACAACGACGGCATCGTACTCGTGGTCCTGCAATTGCATTAGCGACCATCGTTCCCACAACATATATTCACGTAGTAGCTTACAATGATAGGGTACTTCTGAGCAATGAAGCCTTCGGCCTCCTTGGCGCGCAGAGGGCCGTTGCCAAATATCCGGGCTAGCGGAGGGACGAGTTAGCAGATGTAGGCAGGGGCGGGCATGCGAGTCCAATGCGTACCAGCCGGGCGGGAAGAGGAGAAGAGACGTCTCTGGCCCAAAGTGCGGGAAATCTGCATCAGCAAGACGAGTCAGTAAGACCATTGAAGATAGAGGGAACGTGGTGAGCCAGGGTTCGGCATCACGGCGAAAGAAGTCGGATACAGACCTTCGCAGCGGGAGCTAGGCTCCGCATGCCCAAGGAGCTCATGATGACGGATCAAGAGAAAAGAAACACTTTTCCAATGAGTCCGAAGGAGGGGAGATGTGGTGGAGGAAGGGAAACCAGCGGCACAAAAAGACGGGGGAGGGGAGAGGAGAGACGAGGTCAAGGCCGGTGATGCTTTGCGAGCTGCACTTTTGGATCGTCGGTTCTGGCGAAGAGAGCGAAGAGACCGGCTGACATAATCAGCGATTCACTTGCCGACGGGGAGGACCGGGGCCGAGAGCACCAATCAGAGGCCGCGCAGTGGTAATCACCTCGGGCAGCCGGCAGCCTGTCATTGGCCGAGACTGCACAGGCACGTGGCCGGTCTTCTTTTAACCCGGCAGCGCGCGAAGAATTCCGGAGCAACACGGCCGGCCTGGGGACGACGACTCTTATTGCTGGGGTTGATCGGCTTCCCAGCTCAGGGTTTCCCTTCTAGTCTCGTCCCGGAATACTGTGTGTCTGTGGTGACATTTTGCTGTCATTGAACCCCGACCAAGCTCTGTGTTGACCTTATTCCGAAGTTGCCGGGCGCGCATGCAACTGAACTCTACGTACTACGACCCTTACTTGCCTGATGATGTAGGTTGCCATGCACTTTATACTTACTAGTGCAGTGTACTAGTAGCTTATATGTCGTGTGCCCGGCAGAACATTACTGTCATATATAACTGCACAATCATATTATAGATCCCATCGTAGACTGACTGAATCACCAATGTCATGTATGATCATACACATCCGTCCAGCCATGCAATGTAACCAACCCATACCGTCTAATTATACTGCATGTACGTCGCCGTCGAGTTGAACTTCAGGTTACCCTTGATCACCTTGTCCACCGCGGCGAGGAAGTCCTTCTCCGTGGCCACCTTCCGCCGCGCCCGAATGGCAAACATGCCCGCCTCTGTCGCAACACTCCGGAGCTCAGCTCCCGTAGCGTTGGGGCACAGGCGCGAAATCAGCTCCCACCGAATGTCCCGCTCCACCGACATGCTCTTGGCGTGAATCCGGAGAATGTTGGCACGACCCTCGACATCCGGGAGCGAGAACTCGATCTTACGGTCGATACGACCAGGACGCATCAGGGCAGGGTCCAGAGTGGACGGTCGGTTGGTGGCGAACATGACCTTGATGTTACCACGAGCGTCGAAACCATCCAGCTGCGTAATCAACTCCAACATGGTACGCTGAACTTCGTTGTCACCACCCGCTCCGTCGTCGAAACGAGCACCGCCGACCGCATCAATTTCATCGAAGAAGATAATGCACGCCTTCTTTGTTCGTGCCATCTCGAAAAGCTCACGGACCATCCGAGCACCCTCACCAACATACTTCTGCACCAACTCACTACCAATGACACGGATGAAAGTAGCGTCGGTTCGGTTGGCCACGGCTCGAGCGCAAAGTGTCTTACCAGTTCCGGGAGGTCCGTAGAGCAGGGCACCCTTCGGCGGGTCGATACCGAGGTTCACGAAGCGCTCTGGTGATAGCAATGGCATCTCGACGACTTCTCGCAGCTTCTCAATTTGTTCCTTACATCCTCCGACATCGCCGTACGTCACATCGGGCTTGTCCTCGACAGTCATCATCGTCACGCTGGGGTCGATCTTGGGAGGAAGAGGTAGCATAATCTGATATTTGTTGCGATCGACACTGTCATCTGTTAGAAGGGAAGATGCATGGCAAAACTGCAGGGTCATACCCGACTCTCATGCCCTCCTCGATATCCGTAGGACTCACGCGTTCCCCAAGGTTGACGACAAACTTGGCGATCTGCTTAACGTTGATAACATATTTGCTCTTATCCGAGTCCTTCTCATCCGAAATGATCTTTGTACAACGGGCTACCTGCAGCGGTTGCTCCTCTGCCATGCGCTGTCGGTCCGCAGCAACATCCCAAAGGTGTGGA